CAAAGTTCACTGGCTGAATCCAGGTAGTGTGTGTTCATACATATTCATGGGCAAGCCTGTGGCTACCCATTAGGTATGAGGATTGGGCTGAGGCAGGAGTCATTTCCCTGATAGAAAGCATGTCCTTGCTAGAGCTGGAACACGACAAGCACAGAGGCCTTTTCTTAATGGACATGTAAGGCTTTGTTTTCTTCTCAGATAAAGGCACCTTTAAGCAAGTGGAAATCTAAATGGCAAGAGTTGCAAAAAGGAGAGTAAGTGTTGAAAGAGATCTGTCAGGTTTTTCACCAGCTGCTGCTCCCACTCCCCATTCAGCTCCATATACTTTGTCCCAAGGGCAGGCTGTGAAGCCCAGCAGTTTCAGCAAACTGGTGGGAACTGGGAGAGTTTCAGGCCATAATCCCACCTAAACTGGTGACTCACTGTGCAATTGCCTAAGTTGTCAGACCTCTTTGTGCTCCAGATCTGGGCAAGACATGAAGGTGAAAAAGAAACAGATGCTGATGTATGACTGTGAGACAGAAATAGGTAGCTGGTGGTGAGCTTTTCTTTTGTGCATTGAAGTTGATTCTGTATGATGCTCTGGTCAGAAATTATATGGCCACCACAGAGAAACTATAAACACAGTAAAATTCTGGCAAGCTAAGGAACCCGTGGTAAACCATCTATTTAGATGAGTATCATTCATATACATAGCAGCTGGTTTAGTTCACATGGCCTCTGGTAAACTCAAATACTGTTTTATAGTAAATCCCATTGCTTTTAAACATCGTATTTCCACTGTTGCTTCCTACAGATTTCTCATCAGGCATCAATTTATTTGATACTCTGATACTGCCCTGTTAGGGTAACTGCATTCGTTTTAACTGCTTTGTGTCTTGATGCCCAGTTTTAAAGCTCCTCCCCTCTTCTTCCTTTGCTGTAGTAGATATGTCAAACATGCCCTGACTGATTTAGCTTTGTCTGCCTGTCTAGTCAGAGAGGACTGGAAAATTTATGCTCACGCAGAAACACTGAGTTAATAATGATGAGGTGCTGAAAAAGTTTTGGGTCACATCCAAGTCTATAGTTCCGAAAATGAGACCCAAGGCAAGAACTCCAGACTCAGAAACACAAAATTCAGATTCACTTTTTAACCTTACTAGCATTTTTGTCTTCATTTCAAAGGAAACTCGGTTCAGTTACACACATGGAACTTCAACAATTTGAGGATGTAATCCTGTAATTCTTTGTCAGGCAAATCTCCCATTGACTCAGTGATTTCAAAGGCACTGGTGCCTGTGTATGAATGGCAGGATATGGTGCAAATTTATGATCTTGGAGAGCTGTGCTGTGTCCTACTTTCACATTTATTTTATTTTTATTTTAATTCACATTATGGGAATATCATGGGAAAAAGATCCTGGCCTCGATTCATACAACTGGAGCTCTGCCACCCACTTCCGTGGAGCTGGGCTTCCACCCATTCTGCTTTTCACTAGACAAACAAGCAGTGGTACCTCTGGAGCCTTGAAACAGCACCCAAATATATCCAGATAGCAGGTGATTGATTTTAAGCAAATACACAAAACTGTTTTTCAGAAGATGGTGAATCATAATGGCACCATGACAAGAAATTTCACTGCAGAAAAGATCTCACAGTGCAGTGACTAGCTTTTGACAAGCAGATTGCTTATGGCTCATGTCTTAACTTCCTTATCCTCCCAGCCTCCTTCTTAATATGAACTGTCTTGATAGAAGGCGAAGGATAAGATGGATTAATAGAATAGAATTTTCTCTACACTTAAATCATGTACAAAGTATGATCTATGGCTCAGTTGGTGTCATAAAATAGAGATGTGATATCATTGCCTTGACATTATCTCCCTTGCTACCCTTGAACTCTAGAGACTTAATGGCCTGCAAATAAATGGTATTTAAACAAACCACTTTTCAAATGATCTTGTGGAACCTATTTAATCATTACCAGGAATAAATGGTCATTCCTAAGAACTGGATTTTCCTGACTGCACAAACGATAGCCAGTGTACTCAATTCATAGCAATCAGAACTTGGTTTAACAACTTTTTTGAGTGCAACTCATCATTTAACCAATTTGAAAAATGATGTTTCAAATTTACCACCCTCCAATCACAGCTTTAGTATCAGGAGCATTCTGCAAACTGATGAGCTTAAAATCCAAGCTTCTACCAGTTAAATGTACATCTTCTCATATTTTTCTTTTCTTTCTCTCTCTCTCCATATATAATATATGGAGATATATCTCCATAGCCTTAAATTTCATAATTTGTATATAAGGGCCAACAAGAGCATAACTTAATCCAGGGTTGGGACTGATTTCAGTGATGGCTAATTCACGACACTTCATGTGCTGGCAATAAGATTCCCCATTCTTTATCCAAATATGCAATTAGTCATTGTGGTTACTGTAAAAACAGAGTGACTCTGAGAAGATGCATCTGCTTAGACAGAAAAAAAAAAGTCCCAAGAAACTGAAAATACTTCCTTTCTTGTATAATTTCACTGGTGTAGCAACACCAAAGTTCTCTGAGCATGAGTTTCTGTCTTTAACTATGTCCATGGAGTGCAGCAGTGAGTGCCACATATCAGCCCTCTGACGAGTATAACAATAGTTCTCACCTATTCTCATTTTTCCACTTTATGTTTTAGCCTATTTCAGCTTTATGTCTTACGCCATCATTCATCTTAATGGGTATTTGTGGATCTTAAACACTGGCATTTAAGTGTGAGATGTAGCAAATTGGGAAGTTAGATAGATCACTGCAGACAGAAAGAAAAAAAGCTGTTATCTAACAAAATCCAGGGCTCCATATGTTGTCTTGCAGGTGTCCTTTTATGTTCTCGAGCTGAGTACTTAATGGCTCTACTTTTTGCATTAAGCACTGTCAGATTTTCTTTACCTGTTTTTATCGTCACATCCACCATGCCACAGAAGTATTTTCTGCCAGCAGAGTGCTCCTCATGCCAGTCGGAAGAGAGATTTTGGGCTTGCTCAGCCTGGAGAAGAGAAGGCTCGAAGGAGACCTCAGAGCAGCTTCCGGTGCCTAAAGCAGGCCTACAGGAAATCTGCAGATGGACTTTTACAAAGGCATGTAGGGATAGGACAAGGGAGAATGGCTTTAGGCTGAAAGAGGGGAGATTTAGATTAGGTGTAAGGAAGAAATCCTTTGCTGTGAGGGTGGTGAGACACCGGAACAGGTTGCCCAGAAAAGCTGTGGCTGCCCCATCCCTGGCAGTGTTCAAGGCCAGGCTGGATGGGGCTTTGAGCAACCTGGTCTAGTGGAAGGGGTCCCTGCCCACGGCCGGGGGTTGGAACTGGGTGAGCTTTAAGGTCCCTTCTGACCCAAACCATTCTATGATTTTGTGATTCTGATTATTATGATTCCTCCATCCTGAAACATTTTCCAACAGGCAGAGAGATAAGATACTTATCTTCCTTGGCATCCAGGCCCAATGTCACTGCCATTTTAAGGCCAGGGGAACAGCCCCAGCTCAAGGGGGCTGGGTGAGTTTTTTCCCCGCCGGACACCAGCTCGCCTGAAGTCCGCCACTCTCGCTCCAGCCTCCCGGCGCTGCTGCAGTTCCGCCGGACTGTCGCTAGTTGGGGCTCGGGGCAAAGGGACGAGCCCGGTCCCGGTGGCCGGCCCCGAGGAGCCGGCGCCCGGTCGTCGCGCCAGAGAGCGGTCCCTGCCCGGTGCTGCACCCTGGCCACGGCAGAGGGAAGGGCCCCCCGCTTCTGGAAAGGCTTTCCCCTGGGGGAACGCAAAGACTCTGTGCTCCTCCCGCTAAAACAAAAGCAAACTCAGGAGCCATCACCATCCCGGTTTTGCAGGTAAGAAGTAAAATGTCCCTGAATGAAGCATCTTTCACAAGGGCTAGATAGATCATCTACTGATCCTTTGTTTTAGTACCTACCATCTTGAGAGAGATCCTAAATTCTATGTGTGATTTTAAGGATGTGAGTGATGCCGCTGGCTTCGCTAGGACAGCTCACATTACAGCATCTTCTAAAATGTGCTGCCCTTGACTCGGTTTTCTGAATGTAGCAGTTGTTTCACATTCAAGGAGATGGCTTTGCCAGCCCTGAAGAGGAAACCTAAAATAGAATAGACTGCAGTATCTAAGGTTCTGGGCAAAGTTTCAGTTTTAATCATAATAGCCTTAAATCCATTCTTAGTTAAGATGTGAATCATCATGTTTATAGTCAGAGCTACATGGATAAAACTCTGCAGTCTGTAAAAACAGTTCTGTATTAAAATGTGAAACTGCAGTTCCTCTTCAAGTCCTAAAACCTGATACCTGATACTAAAGCCCTCTTAACACAAGTGCCAACTGTCTGTTCAGTCAGGAAAACCTGCCACAGGGCTGGTCTCCCTTTTCCAGACTCTGAAAAAGAAAATAATAAAAGACTTTCCACGGTCAGAAGCATTCAAGCTACAGAACAGATTTTCTTTCCTATTAGTGGTTTGGGGTTTTGTTGTTTTGTTGGGGTTTTTTTCCAGGTTTGTTTGTTCTGTCCCCTCCTCACAACCCACGCTCCTCTGGTACAACTGATAAACAATGTCTTTTATTGCAATAGGCAGCCAGTCCTGCCTAATACAATAGCAGGCAAGGCTTGGCGGGACTGCAAAGTGCAGGTGTTTGGTGTATTGTGGTCATCCAAACCAGATGCTGAGGAGATGGAGCACCTGTTTCCCTTCTTTTCTGCACTGGAGAATACAGCACTATGCAGGCTACAGAAACAGCCTGAAATTAATAGCTCTGCTGCTGCAGTTTTCCCTTGACAGGGCAACAGATATGTACCATCTACGGCTTTTGCAAGCACTCCTCTGAGTGCTCAGACACATGTGCTGGATTTTGGTTTTTGTTCCAGATCAACAGAAGGCAGTCAGAGATGGGTCTGTAACTTCATTTCTCTCCAGGTTATTTTATTAATCATTGATAGTGCCCTAGCATTAAAAATAAATAAATAAATAAAAAATAATTGTTTTTTAAAGCCCTGACAGCAAATTTAGACCAGAAAAGTAATGTATATTTAATATCTTTGTTTTTTTACAGGTTCAACAAACATCTCTTTTGAATGCAGGAATGCAGTTACAATGCTGTGTTCAGGATAGTTGACTCATTGCTACTGCCTCTGCAGACTATGGAAAGCCCTCTACTTATGTGCAAGGAGTAGGGATCCTACCTACACTGAAAGGTGGTAGTAATCCTACAAGAAAGGTCTCCCGAATATCAACCCTAAATAAGGTCTCCTTTCTCTGTCTGACATTCCCTGCGGCTTGCATAGCTGGGAGGCAGGAGCTTAGCTGGGAGCTCAAGGCTCCACCATTGTGGCATCTAATGAGCCTTCCCTGGCCTCAGTCCACCTCTGTCTGCCCCTTCCCACCTCCTGCTCCCCAAAAGCAGCACCCTTCAGAAAGGGAAGAAGAACAGGCGTTGGGCTGCAGTTTTTGTGGGTCCAGGTGAATATTTAAATATTTCTGTATTTGTGCTAAGAAAAGGCAAGTATTTGGACACACACCCCCCCCCCCCGAAAAGTAAAATTTGAGAAACTTTGCAGAATTGTATTTTAGGCCATGTCATTTTTAGAAACAGAGCTTAGCTCCTACTAAAAAAAGAAACTGAAATCAAATACTGTGTCTTTAGTTTTACCACCTAAATCACAGTAAAGAAGATTCCACAAAGAAAAGAGGCTAATGATGCTATGGTAATATCACGGTAAAATGTAGATGCCTTGCTTGAAGAGATCTAGCTCTTCAGCAATTCAAGTAACTCTTCCAACATTTTAATTCCACAAGGATTGGACTGAGAGCGTGAAAGGCACAGAGGCAACATCTCAGTTGCATCTCTCCGTGTGTGCCCACCTTAGAGCATTGATGAAATTGCTCCTGGCTTTCTCAGTCCTTAGCCAAAGCCATCCATAAGGCCCAAATTAGCTGGGATTTTTTCTTTAACTCCTTGCAATTCACTGTGCAGACAGACTTTAAATGAGAGTTAGTCATTGCAACCACTTGGCGTCATGAAGCTCTTTTTCTTGTTTCTCATGGACATGGTACACTTCTTTGTTTGGGCCATTTAGAGCTACATGATGAATTCCACCACTACCAGGTACTTTATTTTTATGGCTCCTGATGTATCCTTAGCTTAGCCCTCAATAGTGCCTACACTGCAGCAAAACCAAAACTTGCCTGAGGTAAGAGCAGCCATATTCAATTCCCTCTCCTCTTCCTGCTCCTCCTCCCTACCTTAAACAGGCAGCATTAATGAGCCAGAAACCATTCTGAATCAGGAAAAAGGGAATTTTGGCAACCAGTGTCATATTTCTGTAAGGAATCCAAAATGAAATCAAGGGGAGAAAAACATATTACAAAGAAGCTGTTTAATCTGGAATCACAAAAGAGAGGGAAATTACCTGCACTGAGAGACAGGCAAAAAAGGGTAAGTTGGAAGACAGATACACTGGGTAGTCTTCAAGGTCTACAAAAGATTGGTTGCCTCTTTTGGAGTTTACACTCTTTGTCTAATTAGACTAATAGAGGTAGAATAGAACTGGGGGAGATTAAAACCCGTGATAAACAAGGCATCTTTTATTTGATATTATTGGAACTGGTTTCACTTATCTTCAGAAATCTTTCTTTTTGTGCTCCTTAATTTGTCCTTGAAGTCCTGTATCTAATCATTAGTTGAGCAACCAATAATCCTCCCCCAGCCCCTCCACCCCTTTTTATGGCCAACTTTAATCTTTCAACTCAGTGAAAAACATGTTTCCCCTATCATAACTAGTTTAACAAAAATTCCCTTTTAAGTTTAGATTGCACAGATACAATGGCTTTCCTGCAGCTTCACGCTGGAGAAAGGAATTTACATTAGAAAAAAAAAAGAGATTTATGATAGCATTGTATTTCCATTTGAATATGGAGAGTTAATAACATGCATATGTTTTTTTTATTATTATTATTTTAAGGTTTAAGCTATGCCATAGGCAAAAGGAAACCTGGAAACTGTGGGACTGGCAGGGCTCAATGAACAGCCTAATCTGGATTTCATTCACAAACAGCAGCTCATACACAGAGAAAGGGGTGGTGTGTTTCACCAAATCGGAACTGGAGTAAGTGCCAGGATTTCCTGATTTGTTTACATTTCTCAAAAAACTTTTTTCCCCTGGATGAGGCTAGAATTAGACTTCCTTTTCCACTTTTGGCCCTTTCCAAACTATTCTTGCTTGACATATTCTCTCCTTTTCCCTGTATTCTCCTTTGTTCCAGTCTCAGCTGGCTCTTTTGTCTTGGAAAACAGAAAAGGCAATGAAAGATGTCAGTCTATGATAATAATGATAATGTAGCCAGGTTTGCATGACAGCAGAACAATGCTGCAGGCTTTTCCAACACCCTTGGATCTACCATTCTTCTTACAATAGTTTGGGGCTGGCGAGTGGGATCTCTCTGGGGCCACAGGCTAGAACAATAGTGTCATGAGGTAAAGGAGATAAAAACATCAAAATGAAACAGGCTAACCCAAACTCTCTTGATGAGGCCTATCACTGAGTTAATCAGAAGTCAGAGGGGGGCAGTTACATGTAACTACATCACCTTTTCATCAGCTGACTGGGTTCTCTGAGCCTCTGAAAACATTGTTTTCTCTACCAGTCCTTGTTCACTTTCACTGATTTTACTGTACTTTGCCCATTGTTTGCAACCTTAGTGCAATCACTGCAGAAACCTGTTTGGGAGACCTTGTCTGTGCCTTTGTTTATAGCGTTTGATCATCCTACAGAAAGAAAAACACTGTAGCTTGGACCTAAGCCATTGTTTTCTTAACATGACAAGACCGCCATCCTGCAATCAGTGTTTGGTGTGCACACATGAAAGGGCTGATAGGGACTTAAAGAATTATGAGAAGACTAGCAGAAAGATTGAGAGCTTGGTCTTGCTGAGTTGCAGTGAGGATTTACCTGATGTAGCTTCTTTGACACTGCAGAAGAGCAGCCTGAATAATTGTTTTGTAGTAGTGGCCTTACAGCAACACAAAGTTATTCTTGTTGGGATGGCAGGTCCTTTTTGCCCCACTGCCTTAACTCTTGCCATCAAATGAGAGCCCTGTGAATGGTTCACACTGAAACAGGATGAGGTGGCAAGGAGGGCCTGCGCCAGGCACAGACATCCAGTGCAGAGGCAAAGCATTCATGGTGAGGAAAGGCAGGGGTGAAAGACTGCTTTTCTGCATTTCAAACAAGTGTTGTCAGCCAGTGACATCAATGCTCATTTACACCAGCTGATGAATATGTGTCTGGGAGAACAGGGGATAGGGTAATGGTACTGAAGAGTTAGTCAAATAGGAAAAGGAAGCGAGGGGGAGAAAAATGGAGATAAAAGAGGAAGGGAAGGAGAGATGTGATTGTGGGACTCAGGAAACACGAGCTGCAATGTACGGCTGTGAGAAAATGATTAGATGAGATTGCATCAGACTGGACACTAATTTCACAATTTCTGCAGCACCTTTTTAAGATCCCACAGTGAGATACTGAGCAGAATGTGTGTGGCTGGATATCTGGAACAAGTCCAAGCAAGAAGCCAAATGCAATCAGTCATCTGTGTTTTGCTGGTTCTCTGTACTAGTGTTTCCTGTGCAGTCATTGCAATATATGTCTGCTTTGGTTGTTCTGAATTCTGGTTTTCCCCTTTCAGTATTTGTATCATATTTAGTTGCTTACAGTGTATAAACCTGCATTTCTAGCACGTTGCTTAGTTTGGGGGCCAGAAATCAGTGTTCCAGCTGTACTCTCTGGGTGGAGGGATGAAAGAGAGTGAGGTGGGCAAAGCCACTGAAGGGGAAAGAACTGACTTCTAAAAGGGGGAGTAAGATGCTATAAGGACTTATAGTAAACACCTTTGTACATTAAATTACTAGTCTTGTATTAAGAGATTTCTGTAGAGAAGCAAGAGGTCCAGAAGCAGTTTTGATTACGTGATTGCTTTAGCTGATCTCCTTAGGGCTACTCATGAGAGTAAGGTGAGCAGGAAATGGGTTGATGTCAGCAGGCAGCCTGCGCTAGAAACTCACACCTACCCTTTCTGCTTCATCAGTCATCTGAGCCCCCAGTTTCACTATTAGGTTTTGATGGTGCATTTTTAGATTTCCAGTTACAGCCTGCATGAAAACCACTCGTAGCCTACACCTGACGAGTTACTGCTATTTAATTTGATGAGAACCATAAAGGAAGCATTCTTCCAGGAGAAAAAGTAGAGGAAGAGACAAATGCATTTCTAGTGCTTTCCAATAATTATGATTCGTGACTTGTGTCAGTTACAGTCCTGTTCTCGCTGACAAGTGTCAGTAAGAAAGTCTTACTTTAAAAAAACACACTTCTGCTTTTTTTTTTTTTTGCATTACTGATAACTAATACAGATGAAACCACAAACCTGAAAAGTTCAGACTTCACCAAATGTTAGTCATGCATCATTTGGAATAACGCAGTACTTGATGGTAATTGGCATTTAATTTGGATGTTCCTTTTTCTCGCAATCCCAAAGAAATTTTCATTTTCATTTTTCAGACTATTCCTTATGTGGTAAAGATCATATGATTGTTTGAGCATAAAGTTAAGATAATAGTAAACAGTTGCTGAAACAGTAACTCATAAAGGAGGTCATACTAAGGTGCCTGTATAGTTGACCTAACTCACCTCCTTGTCTCACACAGACTTCTGGTGACACTTCACAAAGCAAGTTACATTTGAGTTATTCAGTTTCATTAAAGGAGTTGTTTTCCATGCTCCCACATCATACCTCCAGGAAATGAGAAGCTGAAAACTACATATGCAGGTTGATGCCACCCCTTTTCTCCAAGGATGTGAGCTGATGATCTCCATGCCATTCTGCTGTGGCCCTCTCACACTGAGAGTATTGTGAGTCCTCCCAGCAGTGTCACACACTGCACCACAGTGAATGATCTACTTCAGGCAAGTTTCATCCTCTTGCAATAGGATGTCTCTGGAAGCTTATGAATTCCATCTAGCAGAGAAACAGCAGTAGCCAAAGAAATGATGTAGAATGCTTCCAGTGATATCCGTCCTCTGTGGGAATGAGCTGTTAACAAAAAGCAAGATGAAATTTATAGTCAGCAGGATGTAGCTGCTAACTCAAGATGTTATTTGCAATTAGCTAACCATATCTGCAGTGTAGCCTGCAGGTCCATGGCACAGATGTGGAATAGGTAAGGGAGATGGACATTCCTGCGTAGGGTGGGAGGGAAAGTGATACTGAGCATTGGCTTGAAACTTTTGGAAGAGATCAGCCAAGAACTCAGACTCTGGATCCAGAAACCCCCTCTTAAACTGGAACTAAAACCATGCTTGAAAGCACAAGTTAAGTTTTACTGTCCTCAGAGTGTGGTATAAGAAACATGCTTGACAGAAGTCTCAATGTTCCTCACAGAAATAGGGAATTCCCTTTCTGGTACAGCTGTAAGAAACAACATAACCTTTTCAGCTTTACAGTTACAAGAAACAGCATCATTAAAAAGAAAAAAAAATGAAGTAAGGAAGAATGCAATAATTTCAAAGACATTTGTGACAATTCCTGATCAGGGTCCCAGGCGTAGCTCTTTTGATTCTCCTGATTGATAGAATTCGTATTTCTTTGTGAACATGCAGAGTTTGTGTAAAATGACAGTATTTTTCCAGCAATATTCTCTTCCCCACCCCACACCCTTAAGTTTTTCTTTGTCCTTTTGTGATTACAGTAGAAACAGGACACAACTGATAGAGATGAGAGATGTAGAACTTTCACGAAGCTCCACTTTTTTTATTAACTTCTTTTTAAAACGGTAAAACCATGATAGGGCCAACTAAATCCATTTAGCCCAGTAGCCTTTCTTTAACACTAGTCAGCTGAGGTTGGCTAAGTAAAGAACAGAAGGAAACAGGCAAACTCAAATGTCCCTTCCATGCCAGCAATCAAGCGTTCAGAGAATTTGTGAGCCAGAGGTTGCATCTGGGCTATTGTTTTTGATGTCCATCAATGGACCTATTCTTTGTAAAATTTTGTATTCCTATTATGAATCCATTTATATCTCTTGGCTTCCACAACATCCTGTGACAGTGAATTAATTATGCATTGGGTGAAAAAATTGCTTGCTTTGTTTTGCAAACACTGTACCTCATCATTTCAACCCAGTATATGTTCTTGAATGGTAAGAAATAGTGAATAAATGGTGCCTATTCACCTATGGTGCCTATTCACTTTTCTTATACCAGTCAATATAGCAGATTAGCTGTATTAGTAATCTCTTTTGCCAGATGAGGGTTATAATTCTTCTACTGATTCCATACCTTTCATGACATTTGTCAACCTTTTGTCTGCATCTTGTCTCCTCTATCTTCCAGAGGTGGGGTGAGCAGAAATGCAGTGGAAACAGTCCTGGAGCATCTGATGTCAAATCACATACACTTTAAGTTTTTCCAAATGCCAGGCTCCATTTGTTGAAATGGACTAGAGAAAATTTTGAAACCTGAAGTTTCTGTATATCTGTTTCTACAGCATGCTGCTTTCAGGACCATCTCTGGGTTTTGTTTTTGTTTAGTTGTTTAGTTAATCCATGCTTTTGGGGGTCAGCAACGCTTTATGTATGTGCTTCCCTGCGCTGCCTTTGTTTTCTGGCTCCTCTCTCTTTCTCACACCTATGGCAACATGAAATCCAAGTGAAATCAATCATAAACATAACATATCCTGAATTTTGGTGTTATACTGCACTCATCTCTAAGAAAAGCTGTCTCTATTGACAGTTGTATAGCATGCTTATGTTTTTGATCTGAGCCAACACAACCCATTCAAAGATAAAGACATCAATTAATTAAGCAGTTGTTGAGATCAGAAATCTGACACCCATATGGTGTCAAATTAGTGCCTGAAAGCAGTTTACTGCCAAGAGAAGCACATGCATCTGTTGTAGGAGATTAAAATGAAGTATGTATTAATTACTATGAGTTTCTTGGTTGACTTCAGAATTATATTGCTGAACTGATTCTCTTTGTGTTATTCATCTTTAATGTCATCACTTGTAAATAAAGACTTGCTTCAAAAATATCAAGTTCCAAGCAAATGCTAAGTACTCTCTAAAAAGCAAGTAAAGGAAATTCATCTGTGAAGAGATGCCACAAAGCATGTGCTATGTTTTTTTCCATTGCTAGGAACTACATAAAACCAGATGTATGCAGGAGAGAAATGTTGCCTGATATAACAATGAGTAATAAAGAGTATCTCACAATCATAGGATGCATGACGCAATAATGAATTGTATATTACATGTTTAAAAAACACAATTAAAACTGTCGATTTCTTTCCAGTGGAAGTTCATTGGCAGAATTGTGATACAACAAAAATTCCATTTCAGGTCTTTCATGCTATTTTCCTGTTTTCATGCACTCACAAATAAGAAAAAGTGCAGATGTTAGAAACACACACACTGTCTCTCTCTGTATCCAAGGAAATAATTGTTTCAAAATAGACAGTTATCTGGTTATCACTGGCTTATTTTTAACATCCTAAAGTCAAAACTATATCTGCTTGGTTAATATTGAATCCCAGGTCGGACGCGTCTGTCACAGTCAGGCCTCTTGATGCAGAAGGAAATACTCCTGCTAACTCAAATGGTGACATTCTTTCTTCTGAACCAATGACTATGTATTATTTATATGAGGATATATATTCTGTTTCTTTAGACACGTAGCAGGAAACCAGGCAGGATGGGGATGGAGAAAGAGTCTACACAAGTGACTCTACAGTGAGGAGAGAGCAAGTGAGCACATGCACACGTACTTTTTAAGGAAAAAACTCTTCTCCTTGTTTTCATATATACACTTGCTGGCAAAACTGGGGAGCACACTTGGATTTTGTGGGTGCAATGCAAGTGGGGAATGCACTTCTGAACATAAAAGTCTTCTCTCACTTACCTAAGACTCAGCCTAGATAGCTCTCACCTCACCTTTCTACCTGCTGCATCACCAGACAAAATATGTAAAAACTTATTTGGAGGTTATCAGCAAAATGACTGCTTTAGAAAGTGTGTCTCCTTCTCACTTGATCTGGTGGAGATCATCTGCACGTGCTGTGTAAGACAGCTAATAAACGGCTGCCTGAAGTACCCTGCCTCTGGGGCAAAACCGGAGCTTTCTGGTCATTTCCTTAGAGAAAACAGGAAGTAAGCTACTTAACACCAACAAAATCCTCCACTTTTAGTGTAGGCAGATCAATAAATCTTCAAAACACTGATATCAAAGACTACAACAAATCTAAAGAACTTTGTAGACATTCTGGTCTCTTGCACACACAGAATGATTGATGACACTTTTTCCTAATAGTTGAGCTCATAATCTAAATTTACAGATTTAAGGAAATCAATATTTCAGGTGAATATCATGCTTCCCACTGGCTTTCCTCCAAAAGGGAAACTGAAACAGACAGCAAGATTATCAGGCACATAATTTTAAAAGTCTCTTTTTGGGATGAAATATTTTGTTAAAATTTTCTGGTTTATTAATGGTTTTCTTTTTTTTTTTTTTTTTTCCCTTCTGAAGTTTTTCTTATTTAAATCCTTAATGAAAGCCATCCTCTTCTCATGTAGGGAAACATCCACATAGCACTTACGGAGTCACCAAGTAAGATAGATATTCTAGGTGTAATGTGGGATGGTACCCTCCTGCTTTGTCTTTTTTATATATTTCCAGGAATGTGTCATTTGGGCTGAAGAATGAAAGGAAACACGCAAAAATAATGCCCTGATTAAGATATGTGCCAACATCAGGCTGCCACTGACAAATAAAATAAAAGCCTTGAAAAAAAGTGAGTTTATAATTTTAATTCATCGGCGCTTTTCTATCAACTCTGGAAACTTACTGTCTCAGTTTAAGAACAAACACCATTACCCTAATCCTACCTTTTCTTGTTATGTGATGCCAATAATAATTATTTTTATGTTAATGTTTAGGCTGATTTTGGTCACTGTTCCTGCCTTCTGAAGTATCATATATCCCCCACGATCCATTAGAAGCTAGAGGAAGAAGGCAAGTCCTTAAAACTGTGCCACTGACATGAAGAAAGACTGGGGATAAGCTCTTTCATCTGATGGTTCCCCCTGCCCAGACCCAAGCCCAGCCATCTCCCTCCATCACTTCTTGGAAACTCGTCTCCTGCTGACAGATCCTCTGAATACACCAAAAGGCAGGTAAATTAAATGGACTGAAAATAGACAAGTGTCTGAACGCTAACTCCCAAGACTGAATTGTCTCCCCAACCCAATCCCTTATCCATCCTCTTCTAAGTCCTCCACACCAGCTGGAGTCATGCTGGAGAGAAGTAATGCTCTCCCCAAAAAGGATTCCTTCGTTCAGGCTTTGACAGACAGCCCTGTGCCTGCCTCCTGAGGGCTTTATCTCTTACTATGGCATCTGCAGCTGGCCAAGCACAGGCCTTTGGCAGAGGCAGGCTCTTCGGGGCTGCAGAGCAGTTTGGCAGTGCCTCGGGGAGCACTGAAGGTTGTCAGATGGCTGGGGGAGGCTCTTGCAGCTTTAGCTGCTCACAGGTCTCTCTCTCAGTTCTCTGCCAGGATGATTCTATGCCAGGAGGGCCTGGAACAGCTCAGGGCTGAGAAGGCAACATGGGGCTTCATATGACAGAAGTATCATCTCCTCAGATGTTCTCATCTGCACTTCTTAAAAGGTGCAGTGCGGAGTTTCTCCCTAACTCTGCTTGTCTTTGAAGACTCATATACATTGTTGTTTATTTGAGAGCTGATTTACTTTGACCAGAACAGGGAAGAAAGCAAAATTTTCACAACAAAGTGGGAAAAGTTCAGGAAATGCTGCAGGCTTTGGTGTATGAGTTGACTATTTCTGTATGTTAGTGGTATGACAAAACAATCCACATTATAGAGTCATTTGGGTAATAAATACCTGTTCTATCCAGATGTTTCTAGATAAATGATACGTGATGCAAATACTCGCCATTCTAGTCAGCATCTAGTAGCAGCAGGTGCTCCAGTCAGAGTTGTTGTGCTGCATCCATGTGATTTTATGAACATGCAAATGACCATCTTCCACAGTCTTCTATTATTTTTATCTGTAAAGAGCACAATGGCTTGTCCTGATGCAGACTTTGCCCTTCTAAAATACCCCACTTACTCCCTTATGCCTGGTTTTAATACAACTGTTCTTTACAAGGGTCAGCATCTGTACTATGGTAGAAATACATTTTGAAAGAGCACTTGCCTGCAGATTTAGGGGGATAGTAAATGTGTATTACTTTATTAGCATGAATATGGTCTAAATGCACATACTTTTTTCTTGACAATGTTAGAAATGCTGCTCAAGAGTCTCAACTGGGTTGACCATATGGTTTAAGATCCATATTTGCATACATATTTGTATACATAATCTGCAAATGCATGGATAGCCTGCAGAAAAAGAGGCAAGCTGTTTTTAATGGTTGGAGAATTATTTACAAACACAAGCATTAACTGCACAAAAATCACCAACAGAAAGCACCAGAAATTCCCAGAATCAGCTTATCTTTGCTGGACTCAATCATCTTCTGGATTCACAGAAGATGAGGACATTTATTGACACCTACTCCTAAAGCATCCTCTGCTGGAGTTCACTGAGATTCAGATAAGGTTCTAACAGAAAACAAGTAATTTTAACCCTTTCATTATCAGTTTGAGTAGCTGTAAGTCCCTTTTCTATGCTGAAGCTGGGATGAGCATCACATCCCCAGAGTTATGCAGAGCTTTTAGCAGCCTCAGTGGGGCTCTTGCTGACAGCCTGTTGCCAGTCTGGAGTGAAGCAATTTTGATACAGAAAAATATTGCCTGTTGCATGCAGAAATGTGCAACAACTGGAATTTCTTTCTGCACCTGTGCAATGAACCAAAGTCAGGAATGCCTTGCATCCTCCTGGAAACCATGAAATTTTGTCAGCTTTATTTGAACACTATTTAAGTCTCTAGGAAGACATAACAGTATGTTTAATCAATTCTAAAAGAGTAGGTTGTTCTGAATATGCATGAGATGTTACATTTACACACAAAGAAAGAGAATTATGTTTCCCCTTTATATAAGACCACAGACACTGAGGAAAGTGTTTTTTTGCCACCACCCTAAATTATAGCTAACACAATCCAAGAAGCATCCGTTTACCTCTCTGAAGAGAGACTACTGAAAATCAGAGCATATTTCAGTATCACCTAGCTTGTTTGAACACTCAAAAATCTTAACAGAGACAAAAGCCTTCTTGAATCTGTAGATCCTGGCGTTCAAATTAGTTTAGTCATTTATAAAGTTATTTGTCTTTACCATTACCTTTATGAGGTTCCAACTAAAAGCAGGCTTTATAGAGCAGGACCCTGTACAAAGAAAAGGAAAGTTCCCAACAGAAAAAGTTAAAAAAATTAAATTGAGTGATGGAAGGAATGATATTTCCCAATTTATTCCCATTTTATAGTAGTAGCAGATGCCCACTGTCCACTGGAGGGGCTTTATATGCACATCACATCTTTCTACACTGATTCCAGAAAAAAAGCTGGTGTCTGATATCCATGGGGTTGTGGGCAAATGAATTTCTCATCCACTTTTTTATCCAAATCGCCAAAGCAACAGCAGCAGCTTAGGTTCAACACCTGCAGCCAGGAATTCTAGCAAAGTAGCATCCAGTCCAATTTTGACTTAGAAAACAAAACAAAAACAGGAGCGTTTTCAGAGCCAGGACTGATTTTGTCTGACCTCCACTCCTTTGTGGGTTTGGACATTTCTTCTTTGTTTGCATTCCAGTTTCTGATATTCAGATAAGTTGAAAAACTTGTGTGTCAATATCTTCTGTAGTAGGACGAGGAGAGGACATTTACTGAGATTCTTTTAATCATTTTCAGTGTGTTTCTTAATTGGCTTGGATTTTTTTTTTTCTGGCTTTGTTCTCCACCACTGGTTCATTCATTTCCTGAAGTTTCACTTCACCTTGTCTGGTTTTTCCATCTGCAGCATGTTGTTATATGCATTTGGTGATGAGAATTAGCTTAAAATAATCTGTACCATAATTACTGACTTCAGACTTGTTTGTGTCTATAGGGAGACGTCCATGACAAAACAAAATAACAACAAAGAGGGAAAACTACCATGTTCTTCCATATTTGGACAGCCAGATGTTATTTACAGCATTGTTTATGAAGCTTTTTCTTTGCCTTGCTGGCTTTGATCCACACACGTTGTCAGTTTTGAGCACACACGTCCTGTCACATGGTGACTGTGTGCCCCTGACGAGTAAACATGCGGGAATGCAATTTATAAAGACAGGCTAGAGCAGCAATTAAGGAGAAAAAGAACTACAAACAAGACAAAGGAAATTAGGCAGGAAGATGAGCTAAATCTGGTCGGAATACAGGATATCAAGGCAACTGCGCTGCATGTCATTTATCCTTTAGTCACTAACAAGTGTCAACATCAGTACGTGATGTCTGTGCTAGTGAAACTTTTATCATTAGCCTGCAAAAAGATTGCTCAGATGGACTTGTTGCTACAAAATCCCCTGCGTGTGCATCTTTGAAGGGTGAAGAAGTTCATTATCACGTTTGGCACTTATTCAGAGTGATGGAGTTCTTCAAGCACATTTGGCACAATGAACAAACAGAAGACTGTAAAATCTCCTTTTCCTATAAAGTTGAAAAGGGAACTGTTGCCAGTAAGGGTCCACAGAATATTTAGGAAGAGGGAAATATCTGACATGCATTACTTTTTCATGCTAAAGCAAAGTAATGCCATAAAAAAACATTCAACATATGTTTCAGGCAATAAAATTCAGTCACAAGAATATTTGGGTGACAGCAGCAAAAGGTTATGTACCAGGACTTATGGGGCCTGGGAAGAGAGCATGGAGTATTGCTTATTTTCCCATTTACAAACAAACCAACCCCAGGCAAATGCTGGGATTTGGCAAGTTCATTTAAGAGACTGTAGGCTGAGCAGCTTGATCTTGGGTCTGTTATATGAAGAGGTCTCTGCTCTGTAAAAGGTGTGCCTTATTACAAAGGTCATCACATCAGATGGGGAAATTGCTAGTTCGTTATCCCTGAGTCTGGTAGGACAGTACTCTGATAGGAATCCTTCTTTCAGCTTTATCTCTCCAAGTCTGTAAGATATGAGGAAAGGACACCAGAGGAGGCTTCTTCTCTCTGGGATTAATTTAGCTCCTTAACTGCTCCTTTCCTTTCAGCCATCTGCTGTCTACTTCTCAATCATTGTCCTAACAGTTACTGTCCTAATAAGGCTGACCTTCATTTTTCAATGCTTTTTTGGCAAGCCGTATCACAGTATATGGGAGGGTACTTTGCTGTCAATCTCATTTAGAGAGGGAAAGGGCTGACTTAACTCACATGGGCACAGAGTGTGTAGCTTTAAACCTTTGGTTATTTGCTACCCAGGTCTTGGATGTAAAAGCACTTGTACTTTCTGTAATCATGGTTTCTATACATGCATAATCAAGAAAATAATCCAGCACCTGATGTATATGATCACTTTGAAACACCTGTCCAAAGGGTTTCTTGTTTTATGTTTAGCTCATCCACTGGCAACACTTTCCACTAATGATCTTTTGCTTCTATTTAAGAATGCCATGTCCTGTGTTTATATTTGCCTATGGAAAGGTACCCAACTCTTCAAGTAGAGTGTTAAAATAATCTGAAATTACAGATACATCTGAAGTGCTGGATGCAGTCCTGGGCTCCCCATTACAAGAAAGAATTGGAGCAAATGCAGCGTTGGACAACAAAGATAATTATGGGATTGGAAGGCTCAGGGGCAATCTGATCAATGTGTATAAATACTTGATTGGGGGAATTAAAAAAGAGGGGACCCAGGCTCTTTTTTATCATATCCAGTGACAGGACTGGAAAAAAAAGGCACAAATTAAAATACAGGAAACTCAATTCAAATATGAGGAAAAGAATTTTTATCATCAGAGTGGTCTAATGCTGGAACAAGTTGCCTAGAGAGGTTTTGGCATCTCCATTCTTGGAGTTAGAAACCAAATGGAAGCAAAAAATGAGAATGACAGAACTGCATACACCTGGAGCCAGTGAAAAAAAGAGTTTTAACTAATGTTCCCTAGCAAACACTGAAGGGAATTTGTGGTAGGTTAAAGCGAGTTCTTAATTGTGTGCTAATGCGCCTATCCACATACAGGGGTGAAAAGGATTGCTAAGCCAGCAATGCAAAGCACAGTTCAGTCAGATTGCAGAAGCAGGTAAAGTTATGTCTAGCAGAAAAGTCGCTAACCTAGGATTGTTGTAAAATATGGCAAAAAATGCCCACTTTTTCTTTCCTGAGACTTCAATATTGTCAGATGCTTGAGAATGCCACAGAAGCAACTGCTAGTACAGCTAAGAAGAAAGGCTGAAATTAGGTACCTTAAAAAACAAATTTAAAAGCCCCAATCAGGATGAGGATAAAGAGCTGCCAAGGAATGTGTGACCTGAATGCTTTCATTCTGATACACTGGTGACAGCTGCAGGTGGCAAAGGCACTGTGACCTTACCCAGCCCATCCATCTTCTCATGAATGAAGTGGACAGAGAGAGTTTCACTCTTTTCCCAGTTTCCTCCAGAATCCTATTTCCTGGAGGGAACCAGGAATTTCAGAACTAATTTGAAGATGTGAGTAGAACTAGCTTACACTTCTTTTCAGCTGATTTATAATCGACAACAGAGTGACCCCAAGGATAAGGTGGGCTTCACCTTCTCACTAGTAGTAACTGTCTTCAGATCACAGCCCTCCCAAAAGTGATGGCAG